TAGTGTTACTCAATGTTGTACAAAACATCAAAAACTTTACCAATTTTACGTAGAAAGAAACCTTTCTCCTGTCCATTAGCACTTTAAAAACTTCCCTTAAGATGGTATAAGGAAATTAATTGAAATCAAACAAGTTATATGGTTGCTTCCCGATGATTTAAGGAAAACAATGGAATTCAAACAAGTTCTATGGTTGCTAAAAAAAAGGTTTAAGAAAAAAAAAATAGACAAAATAAGTTCTATGGTTGCTCAAACGATGGATTAAGAAAAAAACAATGGAAATCAAGCAAGTTCTATGGATGCTTCAACGATGATTTAAGGAAAACCAATGAAAATCAAACAAATTTTCTGGTTGAGTCAACGATGGTATAAGGAAAACCAATAGAAATCAAACAAGTTCTATGGTTGATCTAACGTTAAGGATGGTTTAAGGAAAACCAATGGAAATCAAACAAATTCTGTGGTTGCTTCAAAGATGGTGAAAGGAAAACCAATGGAAATCAAACAAGTTCTATGGTGGCTCCAACTTTCATGAAATAGTATTTCCCCCAGGAATAGATAACCTTAGCTGTATTTGGCATAACTTTTCGGGATTTTTTGGTCCTCAACTCTCTTCAACTTTGTACTTTATTCGACATTTTTAACATTTTTTATTCGAGCGTCACTGATGAGTCTTTTGTAGACGAAACGCTCGTCTAGCGTACAAAATTATAATCCTGGTATCAATGATAATTTTTTTCCTTTATAATATAAGTTCCACTGGAAGAAATATTACATTATGTGTTCGTTCCAACAAGAACATATAGCATAAAATGGTTTATAACAAAGTCTCCGGAGGGAATTCTATTAGGAGGAATAAATATACGTTGCTTCAACAATGGTTTAAGGAAAACCTATGGAAATCAAACAAGTTATGTGGTTGTTCCAACGATGGTTAAAGAAATCCAATTGAAACCACACAAGTTCTATTGTTGTTTCAACGATGGTTGAAGAAAAACCAATTGAAACCAAACAAGTTCTGTGGTTTCTGCAATGGTTGTTTAAGGAAAACCAGTTGAAAACCACACAAGTTCTGTAGTTGATTTTACGATGGTTAAAAAAAAAAAATTGAAACCACATAAGTTCTGTGGTTGCTTCAACGATGGTTAAAGGAAAAACAGTTGAAATCAAACAAGTTCTTTGGTTGCTTTAACGATGGTTGAAACCACACAAGTTCTGTGGTTGCTTCAACAATTGTTTAAGGAAAACCAACTGAAACCACACAAGTTCTGTGGTTGCTTCAACGATCATGGTTTAAGGAAAATCTATTGAAACCACACAAGTTCTGTGGATGCTTCAACGATGGTGTAAAGAACAAGTGTCTCAGTCCTTCAACTACCTAGAGATATCTTATCGAAAATTTACCAAAGGACTAACAATCCTCATCTTGCAACACCTCTTCGTAGACAAAAGAAAGAATACTGGATTTTCGAATTGGGAACTGCGACAGCATATTGTTTCAATGACAAAATGGTATAGGTATTCTATCTAGTCCTTCCTGTAGCTCGGTGAAGGTGATGAACATTTTCCACTCTACTCCTCGACGTAGACGTAGTCATGGTCATTGTCATTATACATCACCTACTCTCCATGATGTCTCTATTAATGACTATTTATACAAAAGCCTTTGGGTATTCATCACATTCGCACGAAGCTGTATTCACTACCCCTTTCAAAACTTCATTATCTGTACAACTTATGTTTGGAAACCACTGTTACTAACCCCATTCAAACCAATATGAACTTACAGCTATCATCTCGGATATTGCCAGTCACAGACTTTTCAAACCAGTTCATAAGACGTAGATACTGTTTCCGAATGGATTAAGGCTGTGTAATCAGAAATAAAAAAAAACTGAATGGGTATATGAGTATACATGCTAAGGTCCTTGGAATTTCAACCAAAGGGGAGAAACTAGATCTTCTTTCACTGTATTGGATACCTAAATTACATAAATGTCCTTACAAACAAAATATATTGCTGGTTTCCAAGTGATCTACGAATATGATCTACATATCCAAGAGGCGGCGTGAATCAGAAAAAAAATCATTAAAAAGAATGGCCAACGTAGATAGAAGTATCTTGTCCAGGAAGGGATAAATCATACTTTTTTAAAAAATCACATACAATTCCTTGAAACTGACATTATCAAGATGGTAGATTTATTGATTGACAACATATTTGTTATATTTGAAGGACGTGTCTTTCAACAAACAATCGGCATTCCCATGGGAGACAGCTGTCCACCTCTTCTAGCCGACTTTGTCCTTTATTCATATGATGATGATTTCATACGGGCGCTTCTCAGGAATAATGAAAAAAAGCTAGCAATATCCTTTTACTTCTTTTCCCGTTATAAAGATGATGTCCTCTCACTAAATAATTCAAAGTTTAGTGACTGTTGAGCGCATCTATCCCATTGAACTTGAAATAAAGGACACAACATATATGCCTGTCCCAAGTCAGGAGCCTGTAATTCAGTGATTGTCGTTTGTTTATGTGTTACATATTTGTTTTTCGTTCATTTTTTGTACATGAATTAGGCCGTTAGTTTTCTCGTTTGAACTGTTTTACATTGCCATTTCGGGCCTTTATAGCTGACTGTGCGGTATGGGCTTTGCTCATTGTTGAAGGCCGTACGGTGGCTTATAGTTGTTAATTTTTGTGTCATTTGGTCTCTTGTGGAGAGTTGTCTCATTGGCAATCATACCACATCTTCTTTTTTATATTGACAATGAGGGTCGGTTGAGAAAAAAACTTTACGACAAAAGGGATGATTTCAGCTTCCAAATTGTGAACTTTCCATTTCTATGTAGCAACATTCCAGGAATGCCTGCATATGGAGTATATATCTCCCAGTTGATGAAAAAAAAATTATGGATGCCATCACGAGTTGTTTGAGCGTTACGGAATATCTTTTTTACAGATGACGACGAATATCTTCCAATCGTCGCAACCACAATCCCGACCTCCTTTTCCCCGAATGCGACCTACCGAATTAGACTTATCATCGGGTTTGTACTTACATGAGCATCACGACGAGTACCACATGCGGATCAGTATCATTCTGTTTACCCTTCCAGTGCACCTTAAATCACCCCCGGTTTTTAGTGGGATTCGTGTTTTGAGTTTTTTTTATGTTGTTTTGTATACTGTTGTTTGTCTTTTGGTCTTTTTCTTTTTTGACATGGCGTTGTCAGTTTATTTTTCTACTTATGAGTTTGAATGTCCTTTTGGTATCTTTCACCTCTCTCTTATCTCTGTCACGGATCCCAAATATTTGTCTATCTGAGATAAACACCTTGTTTGTTTCTGGATTTTAGATTGGCTACTTGATTCTACTTCAAACCATAGGATGAGTGATTTTCACATAGCAAAAGATGTTAATCCCGTTGACTGAAGGGATACTTCAAATTGTAAAAATGCGCATCTGGTGCAGAAAAACTGGTACCATTAACGCTATTTCTACCATTAGGTCAATACCTCTGCTGTTGGACTGTTAGTTCCCGAGGATATCATCAGCCATGTAGCCAGTACTTCAGTACTGCCACGAAAATACGGATATAATTGTCAATTAAATTTGCTGTTATAAAATTGTGTTAATCATTTTAAATTAAGGAACATATCTCCCTTATGCAAAGCTTTGATTTCTTGTCTGGATTTGGCTTTACTTTAGGTCCTTTTTGGTTTTATCACCTGTGCAACGTTTGTATATTGTTTTGAACTTTCAAATATTTTGGACCGAGGATAACTGAAGAGACATTAATTATCAGAATGCGCATGTGGTGCAGTAAAATTTGTACCGTTAATGTTATCATTTTTCACAGATCCCAAAACATCTGTTACCGTCAATCTGACATTTACATCGGCTCTGTCTGTTACTTTTGTTTTTTATTTGTTTTGGTTTTTACAATAGCTACTTGAATTGACTTTGAAACCATTAGATGAGTGGTTTGAGCATTACAGACGTTGTTTACTCCGTTGAATCAGTAATCCCACTCAATTTAAGGAGAAAGACCGGGATAAAGGGAAATAACTCGGTAATATCTTTGAAATGGTCAGTTTTACGAATTCATGCGAGATGGAATTAAAATTTTCTTTCCTACTTAGAAGCCAGTGCCAGTGATTTTTAACAGTTATGTCCCTGAACTAAGATTACTTCTTTAAGCACTTCTTTGTTCTTCAGTTTATATCTGAAATTAGTTATAGACATCGGTATGCCACTTTTGTATTTAAGATTCTTTCTCGTAATTAGTAGCAAGTAGGCTTCACAAATAAATTGTTTATTTATAACTGAGGTTTTGAAGCGCTTTGTTTAAAACGGTTCGAAAAGTTTTAAACTCATTAGGTGCATTTTGTTTGTGTTTGTATGATGAACGCTTGAGATGAATGTTTACCACTCGATTGAACAAGTGTTTTGATTATCTTCTCAGGTTACAACATTCTTAACTATTTAGGATGCTGTAAATGAACTTAAGGAATTCATTCGCCCATATTTCTTAATATAAGTAAACTTTGCGACTTTCTTTCTGTTATTTTTTTATTAACCCTGTTCCTCCCAACCGCATTCTATGTCCTTCAGCCTATTCAAGTTGTATTCCACCCTCAATCATATTAATTATACCTGATTAAAGCCTTTCAACATAGAAAGTAAAAATGAACATGTGATTTTTCATAAAGGGTTAAATAAATGCAATCCATACAGCACAAATGTGATATATTGTAAATGATCTCCAATTTTTGGAATTGCTAAGAATGGCTTATGATCGCTACAGCGTTTCATATTTTAGTCCAAACGTTCTAAAGTGGAAAATGAAAATGTGACTTCCAACCGAGTATACATTTAAACATTTTTCAATGTAAAGGGGTTCCATCTATATTTCTTAAAAATCTTTAAGGTTATGCAAATTAAGGTAGTTTGGAGGACTGAAAATCTTGATGGCATTTTGGAGTTCAAACAATAGGTATAAATTTTTAGTTGAATTAGCAAACTTTAATAAAGACATGAGGATGTTTGACATTTGACATATTAATTTTGGAGTTTGGACGAGACGATTTAGCGAGGATCATGTTTGTGTCGATACTTAACTGTATGACCTAATACGTTCTTTCCCAAAACAAAGTTGGAGTTATTTTCATAGTTACAAGTATGTTGAACCAGGGGTTTATAGTTTATCATTCAAATATACAGAAGATTATTGTATGCATTTTCATCATGGACATTTTTCTTCATCAGAGTAAACTAACCGATTTCCTTGCCAAACTTCTTTGATTCCAAAATTACTTAAATTCATCCGCAACGCTCAGCAATAAAAGCCCCCGTTTTTTTATATTGTTTCAATCATATCTTTATTATTCATCCAATACGGGCAAATTAAATAATTATTTCTATACACTTTTTTAAAATACACGCGGCATATATATGTACAAACTAATTACACAAGAAAAAAAGACAAGAAAAGAGAGCATTTACAAAAACAAAAACAGCTAACAAAAAAGTACATACTAGTTTATGTTATAACTGTCAAAATATCTTTAAAAGCAAAAACCTATCACGTTATACAAAATATACAACACTATCCGAAGGGAAGTCCACTACTTGAATGACATGTGTTGGAGGAAAACTGACACGTTCCAGTTACAGAATCAAACATTAAATTGTTCGGACATGATCTGATGTACACTAATGTATCTGAGCAAGTAGCGAAATAACGACAATCACCACATGTGTTATAGTCCCCATTACCATATATGTTACAGTCAGATTGTGAACTGACACACTTTCCTAAAAGTAAACAATTATATGGTTAGTATAAATCACGCAGTAGAGAAAAGTTGTGACATAAACGTGTATTTCTTTAGATCATACACTTTATAAAGTTTAAAATTTTAATTTTCTCTTGAAGAAGAATACGATTAGTCTAAAGTATTGAGGCGACAGATACTAGCCGACACAAAAACCAAAAAAAATAATCTTACAGTCAATATACAGTCTTCAACATTAGACAGTTGTATATACAATGAATGATGTCAAGCAATTATAAATCACGCTAGTCGAAAAAAAGTTGAATATTAAGTTTCAGAATCAAATACCCGCATATTGTGTTATTGCCACGTTTCAACCCTATACAATTTCTTTGGTGTCTTTAGCAAACTTTTATTTGATGCTTCTTAAAAATTATCTTCAATTTCCTGACTGTTTTTATAGCATGATACTTAAAGGAGGAATTGAGTGCTGGTGGTAGATTTGGTCTGTTATGTTGTCAACATTTTATGGTGATTCCCATTTTATGTACATGTATTATAATGTTACCTTACTAAGACATAATTTCCGGCCATGACGAGCTGGAGCCTACTATTCTTTGCTTTTATTGCTTATTGTCGTGTGTTTTGCGTAGAAGCAACTAACAACAATTACAAGTCTTGGTCATTGTTACTTCACAGAATGCGCCCTCAAGGCGCATACGAAATAATTGAGGCTTTCTGCATGTTCTATTATTCCAGGCCATTGCACACAGTCAAAAAAGTAACTTGATTTGAAAATTATGTAAAAATGTATTATAACAACTCTACAATCGTTTTAAAGAGTTCGACAATGACCATGAAAAGCCTGACAATAATACATTTATTTATTTTCATCAACAGAAATCAGTTATACTTACTATTGTTAGAGGGCTTTTCTGTTATAGGTTGACGACGGTTTGCTGTAATTCAAAAAAAAAATAATTAAAAGTATACATTACAGTCTTGGTTTTGATCATTGTTGACGGCCGTATGGTGACCTATAGTTACCAACTTCTTCGTCATTTGGTCTCTGGTGGAGAGTTGTGTCATTGGCAATCATACCACATCTTCTTATTTCTATATTACAAGTCAGTCAAAAGTAGGGACAGTATATAAACATTATGAAACCAGTTTTACAAGTCAGTTTAAAAAAATATGTTCTCAATCAATATTTAAAATCTAGTTTCAATTAGAAGTAAAATGTTGTAGGTGTGTTTGATTTGTCAATTTCATTTCAATCAATTCCCTCTGCTTATATGACACATGCCAGAGACACCAGGGTAGTAGGAGAACGGTACATATTTAAGATTGTAAGGGTATGAGAAAAAATACGTTTCATTTTAGGATCTCGTTTAACACATCTGTTATAGTAAAATTGGTACCGTTAACGTTAATAAGGTAAGATGTGGTTCTATACTTTTATGCAAATACGCTTGTTTAAATTATCTATGATCGCATACATTATTTTTTAACATGTTTGTTGTAGATGTTTTTCATTGATTGTAGACCTCGTGAATCATACGTTGTTTGTACTTTTATATATATACAAGTACATGTACTTATATATATATATAAACACTTGAAGGAAAGGAAATCCTGTACATGCATAAACATCCTCGGTTTTGCCAAATGCTTTATAAATAAAACTTGTAACAAACAAAAGTTTGTTTGTCTATCTGATATCATACGTGTTATCATCTTACTTCTTATCTCATTTGTAGGTAAGTACAGTTGTACATTTAAGATTACTGAGTGGGCATACGGGTTGTAAATAGTTCAAGTCAGTATGAAATGATATTGCTTTTTTTTTGATAACGGACAAATTCCGTTTGCACCAACATTTAATAAATTAATTTCTCCTTAGTTTTAAAATTGGCTGTATCTGTAGATTTCTTATTAAAGACGGGGTATCACATCATAATTTTTACGATAATGATTATAAATCCATAAGTTAGAAAACGATCCGAGGCCGAAGAATTCCAAAAGTTATATTTTATCTGTACAGAATGCAATGGGAGAGCTTTCCGTGACAATGTTAAAGCAACGGATATAGTAAGGGAGGATCCAGAAATTTTTCGAAAGGTTTCAAAAGGTTTCTTTTTTTTTTTTTTTAGATAATTAGGGTCATGAAGGTAGTAACAAAGCAAATGTAACGCTTGGTTTACAAAATTGATTCCAATTTCACTATTCCTTGATATCTACAAGCAATGACCATACTAATAAAAAATAACAGGGTACCTAGTCTACTAAAATTTCTTGTCAGATTTCTATTTGTTTTTTTTTTTATTTTCAGGTGAAGATGGCATCTCACGCTGAAAGAAACGCGCCATTTATATTTTGGTGCGTTAAGAAAATTTGGGGAGAACAACTCAGTTATAAAGTAAATACACCAGAGGATATCAATAAAACCCCAAATAATCAAAGCGGAATGTACATATTTTACTTAGACTCGGGAGTACATCAGTATCCTATATATGTCGGTATTACTGGCCGTAACTTCCGACAACGATTTAAAGAGCACCACGATAAACAAACAGGCGTGATTTACAAATGTAATAACGGAGAGTTCCCAAAGAATCAACCTCCCGTGAGATTACCATTAATAGCACTTGTAATTCCAATTCCTTATCCAATGCAATCAAAACTGATGGAATCTGTTTTCTTAGAAGCATACAATTTCTGTTTAAATACTGAGGAAAATGGCGAAATCCGACTAACCGTTGATACAGACCAACAGTTCAAGCCAGAAGATTCAAAGCATAACTTTGATATTACGTTTGGAAATGTAATGAAAGAAATTCAGGCCGTGTATAATCAATACAATCATAGATCATAGTGAATTTAACAGAAACTGATGGACTTTTCATCTGATCAACAATGACATTTGTTTTATAGTTTAACAATAAACTTGTACAAACATACAATATGTTTTTTTTCTCGTTCATTTCAACAGCATCTCATGGAAGCTTGCTCGCTACGGCGTTCGTTGGATGGGTCATATCAAAACTTTTAATCGGCATTTACTTCTTCTCCGCCACGCACGTGGCATGAAGGGAGTAAGTGTAGTCTAGACTGGTTGGCTCGGAATAAAATTATTATGGTCGAGTACGGTGGCATGCCTTCATCAAGAGTGTTACCTAAAAAATCTGCCTCGACATGTTGGTCTAGTATAAATCGGGGTATATTCATATCTAGTTAATAAGGTATATTCCTGAAATGAATATAAAATATGCCACTGGACATTAAGCAGCCTTAATTTTAATACAGTTTGGCAAATATATTAAACAGAATATATGTCAGAAAAAAATTCCCCTTTCCTGACTATTTGTGCTGTATTATTTCAAGTTATAAAGGTATTTTTTTCTGTATTACAATATGAAAAAGAGTGAGCAGACAACCAGATAATTCACAAGCACCATGCCCCTCACCATAAGCTAAGCGTCATGTCGTGCTGATGTTTCAGAATCCATTGGTCTTTTTATATTATTAACTAAAAAATCGTTGAGACTATTTAGTTTTTCACATTTAGTTTACATGTGAAGATTTTTTTCCTAGGGAACGGGTATTGTCTTAATCATTAACAATCCTACAGTATATCCTTATCTATCATCGCGGACGAAAATGAACGTTAAAGGCATTATTCGAAACACTGTCATTTTAGAAGAATCTGACTTGAAGCTAATATTCAAAGAGATACCGAAAGTAAATTTGACATCATAAGTCAAATAACTACAGACAACATACAGTAAAAAAACTGAATAAAACAAATACATGTAGCTGAGAGAAAAATACCAGTCGGACAGTAGTTTGTGTACAATATTTTGATTTCCAGTCTGTCAATAAATAAACACTAATAGTAGATTTATTTTCTATATTTTAATTTTAATTTTTTTTTTGGGGAGGAGGGGTTAAATTGAGTACTTATGTTCAAATCATACAAAACATCACGAACTCTCAAATCCGGCTGTGTACATTCCACATTGAGAAAAATCGTCGGCATTAATTACAGATAACAATGTAATCAACTAACAAATGGCTATAAAAAAAAATCCAGTGTTTATATGAACCACTTAATTACTTACGTATACAAGCAGGGAAATTTTCACCGTTACTCCACGTTCCTGTTCGTAATTGGCATGTCAGCTGTATAAGTGATTTTGTTGTAGTAAACTGGAAACCATCATTGCATATTGCTGTACAAGACCTTAACAGTTTTTGTATTTGAAAGAAAAGAATGTTTTGTTATCAATCATACGAGTATACATTCTAGTTATATAACTGTTACATATATAAACATGAGGAGATGTGGTATTATTGCCAATGAGACAAATATCCACCAGAGTTAAAACGAAGTGGTAGTGAGCCTTATCTGTTTAACTCCTACACACATGCCACGCGGCACATGCATGTACTTGTCCACATTCGGGAATCTTGTTAGTGAGTGTGTTATGTCATATCTTAATGCTATTAAGATTTGTAGAATATAATGTTGCTGGCAGATCTTAAATTAATTCCCAACTTTAGAAAAGCTTATAGACTTGTAATAATATGGTTTCGACACCTTTCAACTGTTAAAGACTGTATGTTGCCCTCTACATGTCTTTTGGATATTTTTGAAATTGTCGTTTGGATCTGTCGCATTGACGTATACCTAACATCTTCTTTAATTCTTATATCTAATTGTATAACAATACACAGCGGTTTTCATTTTAGAAGATTTCATATCAATAATTAATAAATTAGCAAAAATCTACCCGAGCATACGTAAACAAAAAAATATGTAAATCTTATTGTGTAAAAAACTTCAACCGGATCGCATGTACATACAAATGAATTGCTTATTTTACCTATAAAATTTAAAAAGGTTATGTAACATTGTAGAACATATATTTTCACATACAGTTCAGTTGAAGTCTTTTGACAGTTGACAACACCATTTGGGGGAGGTAGAACGGGTGAACATGGCTGTTGCAGTAGAGTTGTCTTTCCTGTAGCACCTGTGTAAAGGTATAAATTACGTCAGATAACATGTCCAAAGTTTTCTGACATTACATACATATATAGTATGTGTGTACAGTATATACAGTGTATAGCACAAAAAAAATGTATTTGAGAGTACCAGTTTTATCTTTATAAGATCATGTTCTGATTGATTGGTTGATTGGTTGATTGATTGTTGCTTGCTTAACGTCCATTGGCAATTATTTAAATCATATTCAGGACAAGAAGAAATGAACATTCAGTACAATATGCAGGTTCTAAAAGATAGGCCGACTGGATTGAAGGGCTGGAAATTTGGACTGCCACTGGAAATAATACATTAGGACAGGGGCAGAAATTTGTCCTGCAACAGGATACTTTCGAGCCCACCTGAGAGTTGTGGCAATGTTTCTTTAACGTACAGAGAGAGTGGCACTCTCCCTTTATGAGGCATCAGTTCTAACTTCCACATTTCAACCGGACATGGCTACTTATTTATACATCCCGAACATCCAAACGGATTCCCCACCTAAGCAAGGGTTCTACTACCGGAACTATATACGTCCATGCAGGAATTACCATAAATACCCAATCAAACCTTGGTTTAAAAATTATAATGTTTTGAAATGCAGCAGAGACTTCATATAAAGCAATAAATTCAATCAGTTAGCAAGACATTTACTGTTACCTGAGGTTATACCTGTGTCTGGCTGAGGAGTACTTTGAGTGGATATTGTTGTCACACGTTGTGGTGGTGTTTGTGGTCGCACGGTTGTCTTTGGTATTGCTGAAATATTATCAATAAAATTGTTTATAATCAAACACACAGATACATTTTGATAGGTGGTTACTTGTATACCTCTGAATATGCATGTTACTTTTCTTCAAATTATCATAGTCACTTTCCAATAATTCAGAAAATATTTGATTCTGGAATACTTACATGTGCGAATAAATATGCAATATAGTGCAGACTGTTAAATATTTTAAGATCCTATAGATTTAAAAGTTTGGATATTCATGTTAGGTAAAAAAAGACATAAAGTTTAATTATCAATAAACTCAAAACAAAATATAGAGACAGAGATGTAATAGTTTCAAATATTTTCCCTATATTTTATAACAAAATATTTGCATGACAAGTTTTTATGACAGTATAAAAATTTACTTAATATAAGTTGTCTCAGTATCATGTGACCTCCATTGTCTACGACATTTATCATTTCATTCAGTATCTATGCAATTCGTATGTGTTAATAATTCACCATTTACGTTGATTTTTACTTTTTACTTTATTTTATTCAAAAATTTGTAACAATCATGTGTTATAAGATTTTTCTTACAATCGATGTCACATCCTAGAAGATCAAATCGTAACCCTATCCCATCATGCCATTCTAAGGGATTTATCCGGATGTATTGGGCTTCGAAAGGACAACTAAATACCTGCGTTTTCGGGGAATATGCATCTGTGTTGCCAGAAAAGAACTGCAATGTTAAGAGATTATAATAACATATAATTATGATATTAAGCTTGTTTAAAGAAAAAAAAACATTAAAAAGCTGGGTTTTTTTTCTTTTTCTGCAAACAAACGGTACCAGTTATGATGGACCATATGTGCATGTCGACAAATAATGTATCTTTAGAGAAGTCAGCGGTAAAACTATTTGGGAATTCAAAACACTAAACACACGATGAGCTCAAATTAATCCGAGAACAGCCTGCATAATTACATAACATAATATTTCAAAATAATTCGTAATATTGATTTGCAGACAATAATCACGAGGCATTCCAAAATTTCGTTTTATTTCCCTGAAATGCAATATTCATGACTGCACGTGACAAAATGTGCTTCGGCCAACACTTTTACGCTCCAATAAAATTGCAAAATGAGGCTTTAAAATCTTAAAAACAATCCCGTTCGTATAATATGGAAATTGTGACCTCGCGACAAATCATTAGTGAAATACTACTGTGTGTTTAATATGATGCTTGTAAGTTGCTTATAAGTACAAAATCATTATGAAACATGTTTTCTCTTCATTTTTAACATACTATCTATAATGATTAGTGGGGGGGGGGGGGGGTACAGCATCTTACCTTGTCTGTAACATTTTCGTCACTATAGGGAGTGAATATTTTTCCATCCATGCTGTGTAAAATTCGAAACCGTGTGACGTAAAGTTCAGATGGTCCAACAGAGATGCCTTTGGTTGTGATTCCAAGTAAGCTACCTGCTTTTTGTAAGTTAATCTAAAATGGTAAAATAATGTTTTGCACTGAAGCTTTAAGGGGGAAATACAAAAATTAAAAATTTACAATAGTGCTAACAGAGCTATTCACATTCATTAGATTTGAATATCTTACACATAGTGTGTAGGACGGTTGAAAATGACAATCTATGCAATCTGTATAAAATAATCGTACGTATAAGTTTTAGGCCAATTCATGAAAAGTTTATAGATAAAGAGAACGGGTAGATTTTTAGAATGTCATTGCAAGATACGAGGGAGTTGGATAAGGTCAAAACTTTTATCTTTTGTCACTAATAGATTATATTGCTTGCTCGGGATTTTTTACGCCCGAAAGCCGTTGCTCTTGCTTAATTGTACAAGTGCCTAAATATTCGGTAGACTCACTTTGATTAAGACAGGCATCTTTCGATATATGTTTATTATATAAGTCGATATTATACAGTTGAATGTTTAAGTGTGTAAAAAGTGGACGAAACAGACAATTTATAATCGGTTCTTAGAAATGAAAATAACTTTAAAAAACATAGAAATTATAGAGTTGAAAAATTGATAAAGCTTCTTTTAAGAATCGGCGATGTTTTCACGGGACAAGCCTCGTACAAATATGTGTCACCTAAAAGCTAAGACAATCAAGCTGAATATTAATGCAAATTAAACCATTGCTTACTTTATGACTGAATTTCAGTTTTGGTTTTGAATGTCCTTCTTATCTATTTTAAAAAAACGCCCAAACTCTTTAAAACAAAATTAATCAAATTACAGCTTATGTCTAAGTCAACATGTATCCTGTATAAATTGGTTGCATGAAAAAGAACAAAAACGACACAGTTTTGTAACATGGAGAAATTAGAAGTTAACAAATGAAGCTAATTTTGTGAATATCAGTAAATATTAGATTTGAAGTTTTTAGATACTCTTGTGATAAATAATTTCAGGGTAAATTGGTTGTGCTTCCGGTTTTATCTAACAAAGGAGTATCATGATTTGCCTTTTATACACAAAAATTGAATCAAAACCCCCTATTGTAATATTAAGTTTTCTGTGTAGTGTTTGTACACAATTTTTCGCAGTTCCAATTTTCATTTTAATTGTTTTTGCCATGGTTCTGTTTGTCTTCCTTCGGTCAATCATTGTGTGCTGCCCCATTCCCTTTAGTTCTCTGTATCTTGCTACTTATTTATGTATCTAAATACTATATTCGTACAGAAGAAGGGGTTAGTATGAATCAAATTGTTATCTTTATTCTTCAGCTTGAAATTAGAAGAAAATGAAATATCTAAAGGTAATCTTATTATTAATCTATTTTCCCCGGGTGTATGAGTATATACTAATATCAAGCAGTTTATGATCAATATAAATAACCAGATTTCAGTAAAAAGAAAATTAATTTTAAAAATGTTTTCAGGTTCTGGCTTAAATCTGATGGTCTTCTCTTACCTGAACGAACTGTTTTTCTCTTACCTGTACGAACTGGTTTAGATCAGATCGTGATGGCCTCCATCCACATTCGTTTACACAAAATAGATCTGACTTTCTCGGCGAATATGTATTCTGGTTTTCAGAAAGAATTGAAGACGTTGTAAAGTCAGAATCAGTGATGTTTTTATTTCCTGATATAAGATACTGAGTACTACAACCAGCTGAATGGAATGAAAAAAAAAATATTTACATCAATTTTGAAATATTCAACATTAATTTTTTTCTTATTTTAGAAGATACAAGATTTTCAATTGCATTGCAATTATTTTTTATGGAAGTGGACTCTATTTTTCATTCATACCGTGGTATAGCTGGTAGCAAGGGAAAAGGGGAGAAGTTTTGCTACTTTTGAAGATGGATCGAACATATTTTTGACCTTCCCCATTTTCTCGACTTTCAACCACTTTTTTGAAAAGATATGTAAAAAAGCAAGGATCACAAATAGTTTGCCTCCTCTTTCAAAAAAAAATGTTTTCAGCCACAGTATAGTGTTCATTTGTTACGACTAAGTGAGATGTTCTCTTACTTGTCGGACTTTTTGCCAACAAATGGGAATAGCTTTGTGTACTGATTTCTTGATTATGGTCAGTTTCTATTCAAAGTCAAGGAATATGAATCAACTTCTTAAGGTTGGTATTTTCTGGTCACAATGAATACATTAAATACATTTTATATTTATGAGTAGACTGAAACATTTTATTTTACCTTTACAGTCAGGTATTTGATCGGTTGATTGCCAACCAACGGATGCATTGCAAACCCGCTTTAGTGCTGCTTGTCCTGTAGGAAACATATGCTGTCTGTCACATTCAGCTATGCAAACCCTAAAGATAAGAATTTGATTCATTTTTTGATGTCTAGATAAATAATATTATCTTTTTGCAGATTTTTATCATATTATCAACTTTCTTGCTGTAAAGTTGTAAGTTTTTCTTCTCTTTGTTATTTTCCTTTTTTTTCGATGGCTCGTTACGATCATGCGTCATCAACTAAAGGTGAATCGATGATGACGTTTAGGACCAACTTAATTTTTTAACCTTGAACGTGGCTGGAAATGAATTTAATTGCTGCGCAGTGCACACATCTGCATCAAATCGTTATGGTATGTGACGAAATAAACCTATATGAAATTAAACCTTATTATTGTTTTGATAACGATAGTTCTCCTTATGCAAGTTAATTTTCCTTGACCTCTGTCGGAGAATGCGTCACTCGCAGAATAAACAAAAAAATCAAAAAAATTAAGATGTATGTATACAAAGCATGTACTTCATCATGATTGCACTTTTTGCCTGAACCCCTGAGGGGTTCACGCATATATATTGGTGACTTTTGGAAGCTTCTATGGGCCACTCGGAAACCTTCGAAAACAAGATTCTTGGAACCTCTCGAAATTTTTAAATCATTTTTTTAAAACAGGTATTTATCTACGTCTTTGATACGTTCCCTCTATGGTAGGCTACCACGTGACATTGTATATTTCAACAATCAAAGTTCATTTGTAGATCGATAAGTAAAAAGATAAGGACTAGGTTGCAGTCAAAAATCATTTATATATTGGAACCTATTTGTCTTTTGACAAGACATATGTGTTTTTAATATTGCGAAAGTTTATTAAATATCAAGTATATTAATAATAACGCAATTATATAATTCATGTTTTGAGATGGTCCCTGTACACGTTGTGTGTGTAGTATTTAACACAGCGTGCTATTGTGCATTGTGACAATAAACCTCGGAATAGTTTATTGATATTTAGAATATAGCAAAGTGCACTCGACCGATGAAATCGTAGGATTTGGTGTTTCTTAATTGTGAAGAATGAATGAAATCATGTTCTTAGTAGGTGATTTTCCTATTGTTAAGGCCTACTAATAGTTCAAAACAAAGAGTTTCTATAAATGAGCTACAACTACCCTGAAGCACATTTATCAGCTTGAAAGAATTTGTGATGAAGTTTACTGGTGCAGTAACATTGGTACTTTTAACATTATTATGAGATTATTAATAACTTAAATTACTAAAGAAAAAAATAAACAATATCACAACAATGCAAAATAAAAAGAAAGAAAGAAAAAGAAAAAAAGTTTTAAAATTAAATAAAACCTAAATCTTTAGCTTATACTCGGTCAAAAACTCAGATTACTGAATCTGCGGTTGGTGAGAAAAGTAATTTCTAATATTCTGACAAAATTTGAAAAAAGGAATTTAGTTTAATTTTTAAATGTATTTTAAACTTTTAACGGCGTTGTATTTGAACTTTTCCCTGATACAATGAAGTAGTATTTGATGTAAAAGGATGGACTAAAATATTGGCTGTAAAATAAAATTAAGTTGTATCTCAAATTTTGAATTTATTGATTTGAACTGTAAATAAACAAAAAGATAATTCCTCGCTAAAATATTACATGATTTACATTCATACTCATAATCAGAAAACATTTCTTATCATTTTATTGTACTGTTGTGTCATCTAATGTCTAAAACACAATCTATTATATTTTCCAAAATTATAAGAAAGTCCTTACATCACTAAAACTAATCCAGAAATTGAATTCCCTAAAAAGAAGTCACGCATTAATTACAAACATTGCACTGACAATGAAACTAATTCTTAAATACAACCAATCAAGAGATAATTTTAGCCTTGAGCACTTTACAATATTCTAAGTTTGTAAGAGAATGATAATCCGTTTCTTCATGATAAGTACTCGCTAACGTTCGTACTTAATCATAAAGAAAGGGATTATTATTCTCTTACATATACATAATATCCCAGAATGAACTGATTATTTCTGAACGTTTACCACGTGGTATTTTATATTTCAATCATAGCCTGGGGAAATGTAGCAAAGCATGAAGAAACTTAACAAAACGATATATTTCTGTTATAAATATTAATATTAGGTCGGAAACACTGTGGTCGGAAAGCAGAAAGATAATTAAGAAAAAGGATTTATGTGTAATACGATACTACCAGACCAAGAGAATATTCATTCAAATTATTAAGTTTAAACTGAGACTAAATTTATCCTTAATAGAATGTAATTAGAAATGTTATACGTGTATTATGTCCCACAGCTTTAAACAGTGAATACATTTATGAAAATTATATGCAATATATGAGCACCAATGAGCAGGGACGCGTTCACATAAGTTAGTATCAAAATTTTAAACGGTAGTGAATGAAAAAATACTTGCATGGTTTCAATTAACAAGGATTTTAAATCCTTCATCTCACAAAATTAAAATTTTACATTAATCATAAAATATTTTAATTACTACATTTATTATTTTATACTGTTTTATTATCGTTTCATAAGTCTCTGCTTATATTTTTTATAGCAATATATTCATATTGTGGAAAGTAAGACTTTTAGAAGAGATTGATTTGATAAATAAAATGTTCATCAGTAAATACTTTGTGTTTATTGATATTATATTCTTAATTCATAATTAACAGGAATGTATGCTAATTAAATTTCAATTCTTTTTTATTTGCTTTTAATAGTTCAACTGTATAGCATCTAAATCTTTGCAATATGGTACGATTTTGAAAATTGTATTCATTGTGTTGACCAGCTATCCTACACACGTCTTGATTCATTTACATTATATATCACCCTTTTCACACGACACACTATCGGTTTGCATTCACACAAATTCCTGATTAAAGAGCAGTGACTCCGGAGTCAAAACAATTGAAGTAGGTAGTTTGACATCCGAATTCAACTATTAAACATTAGAATTGAGCCTAGATTAATATATGTGATGACGCAAATGCGTTTTCTTATCCAGTGTATCAGTACGTAAGCTTTCTATTTACTATTTCTTGCACAAGTAAACCATGCATAAATATTAATTTCACTCGCGAATGTGAATTTTCGCATTTCTTATCTAAATTCAGGACACGGAAGTCAGAGCTTGACATATGACTTTCAAGCATGGTCATCAGTACTTAAGGTATTCTGGCCTGTAGCTATTTCTTTTCCCTTTTTGTTTGAGTGACTGTCCTTTTATAAACTTTGTCATTTTCGAAATGCTAAAGATTTTCTACCCCAGGAATAGATTACCTTAGATGTTTTCGACAACACCTTTGTTTTGAAATTTTGGGTCCTCATTGCCTTTCAACTTCGTTCTTTATTTGGCCTTTTGAACTTTTTTATTCGAGCGTCACTGGTGAGTCTTTGTTGACTAAACTCGCGTCTGGCGTAAAACATTTCAACCCTTGTATCTTTATATATCTACATATATTTTTATATAAATTGTTTTCTTTTGAGAGTGTGTTCAGGTATTCATAAAGCTACTGAAAATAAAATATTCTTCAAAACCAAATTTTCCTGTAGAATATTTGGATTAATTTAAGTAACTTCTTGAAATCCTTAAGATTTTAAATGTTTTATGAGACCAAAATAATTGTCAGTATATAAGAGGTCCTAATGAAGCTGGTGAGTTACTCTAAAGAAAAATATACGAAACCTTCTTATAAGTTGCATGTCACAGGGTTTCACTTCACATGGAAATTGGACTTTAAATTTATCTATACAACATCTACCATGAGTACAGACAGCTTCAATAATGAGTATAAGAATAACTGAAGGCATCCAGGAAACAAAATATGAAGATATGATAGATACAAGAAATGCATCCAGATTATGAAGCAAACTGAGGGCTTTAATTTATATTGCGATTGGTTTGTGCAATTTGCATTAGACATCAGGTTTGCAGAAACTGGGATTTGCAATAGGATTAAGAAAAAATTATGTACGCTCCCAAGTAATAAAAAAAAATATTCAAGCTTTAAAAGATAATTTCAAATAGTAGCTTTATATATACACTTTTCTATTCACAACTAAAATCCAACATCGCTTTCAACTGACTTGTACAAGAATCTACACAAAATTACATATTTTTAATAAAGGTGTTTTAATATCATTACCTTATTCTTTTTACAGTCAATTATTTCAAATCAAAAGCAAAAAAAAAATCAACAACAATTTTTTTGATGACCATTTAGCTTCACGTATTGCTTTTCTTTTTTTTTAAAGAAAGCAGCTTGTTTTAAGTTAAGTAAACAGGGTACTATTCCAGAAAAGGTAAACACTATAATATTTATATATAGATAACATGTGAAAAACATCATATGATCCCTAAGTTCTTAGTTTCATCACACCAATACGAAAAAGAGTCCTTCATTCTTCTGAATGCGATGCAGGTTATTGTATAAGTTATTATATAATTCGTAAATATGATTTTGGTAGACAATTTCATTGAAATGAATTATATATTCATGTAAACTGTAAATTATATAACATGTCTATTAGACGATTTTGTTTATCCTTTTTATTCTTACAGTACTTATCTGAATAAAATTTGTCAGCAATCGTGTTTTATTATGGTGACGTAAAAGAAGCTTTTCATCTACATAAATGTCAAATGCTTTGATACGTTGAAACATTTATTTCATTTATTGTAATCGCATTTTTCTATAATCTTTACATTTCATACATATTAACGTGACTTGCAGTTGACACAGTTATTACAATAAGATTTGCAACTCTCGGTTTCGGCTTATAAAACTTTACGTTAACAATGTCTGATTATGCAACAGAATCATGATGTAATTCTAATCTTTCCTTGCTCCTTCGGAATTTCTTCCCATTGACAAAGCTTACATAAATAAATAATTGAATGAAAAACAGTCAATGCGTGACTTACTTATATGTGCCGTAATTGTACAAGAATGTGTAAATGATGTTACATATTATATATCATATTTAACTTTTTATTGAAATGAAATGATATATGCTTTACTTTTTTATTGAAAGAAATTAAACAGAAAAACCTAGAGACTTGATATAACTGACAAAAGGAATCACTTTCAAAATTATTGGATATGAAATAAATGTAATATATTTATTTCATAATGTACTCAAGAAGGAAAAGCTGTGCTTGTGGTATTAGAGGTATATGAACTTTATGAAAATTACAGTTTTTGTTCAGGATAGGATATGTCATTGCAATTCTACATCTTCAAACTTCTATACATTTGTACATGCAAAAATACCCAAATTTGATGTTTTCCTGTTTATAACTTCAACTTGACAAGGAGTGTAACAAAGAGTAAGTGAAATTCACAGATTCTTGTGTTTTTAGCTCTACCTTTTTTCTATTAAGGATTAAGACTTCGAACTTGTCTACCCTGTGAATCTTTCAAACTATTTATTAATAAGAAGAAATAAAGCCGGAATAGTCCATATGAAACAAACATATTAAAAATGGATTTTTTTTATCTTGCAAAAACTTAAAAGCATTTTACATACAGCTGTGTGTTGACTGATTCGCATCTAACAACTCCATTCTTTGGTGGTGACAACGACCGACATCTTGAACCAGAATCTGTCAAATAACAGAGAAGTAATCAAAGTACTGAAGTACTGAACATCGGATGACCACAAGTTCTTGAGGGTGGTCAAAAGCACTTGTCTCAGAAAAAAAACAACATATCTCTTTACCTGAAACTGAGGTTAATGTACAGAGATATATTTTTTTTCTAGACAAGTGCGTGCGAGTATGATGAATAAATGACAGGAAATTCAACTTCACCGTAATAACTATTATATTGTAGTGATACAAATCAGTATACACTGATTTGTTGTTATATATTATATTAAAATAAAAGTTACATATATATATGATTTGCATCCGTTTGTAAATAATTCTATTCTACTGTTCTAATAAAAGTGCAATGCAAGTGCATGGTGGACACTTTTCTGTAAAAATTCGATTTTTCTAAGATTGGATACGAGTAGGCATTCATATTTTCCCGCAAAAACAATTACAGAGTTACCGGTCCTGTCGCAAAACGTTCTTTGAGATATTCTTCCGCATGCTTTAACACAATTTTTCGGTACGTGTGCATTGATATTATCAATGATTTTTTACTTATATATATATATCTAACTACAAAACATTTTCACATTATTAATTTATGTTGTAAACAAAAATATTTTTATCAGTATTCATTGAAGAGATGTATTTATATCAAATGACAAGGAATGTTATTTTACACTCGTTTATGTGCGCATATTTATCATGTTTATAGATCGATTACAAACCCAAAACTAATTTACATAATGGAAATCTAGGCGATAGCAATACATCGGGATGACCTCAAGGTCATCGCGATGTAAAAAATGAACTATAAATGAGATAAGCTCATATAAAAACAAATATTAAAAATATTCGGATACTGTAATGAATAAATTAATGAAATGAATTAACTAATTATAAGTGACGTCACTTGAATGTAAAAAAAAATCCAAATAATTGCCACTGATTTATTTAGATGTACATCCAGTTTCTGTATATTTTGGGGGTAAGTTGCAAGAAAATAAGGGTGCATATAACCTTGTACCATCGCTGGGTACCCTGTTGCTTTATGGTTTGTTTTCCGGGGATTGTCATTTGTCCAGTACTGTCTCATATCTGCATTGGCAATGATATTTAACGTACATTTAGATTAATTCTTAGCTTATATTTTATGTAAATTTTATACAAACGAAGGTTGAATGGCAATGGCCCATCAAGTATTTTTCCTGTTTTCCGAATTTTTAATATGAATATTCTTGCTAAATGTCTATCAAGAAATTCGCACTAGACGCAACAGTGTTATTTACTAGAATTTCTGTCCGATTTGTGTTTTTCTTTTTCTTTTTTTCTTTATCCGTTTCTTGTTTTAGTCATGGACATAGTATAGTTAAAGTTTTTGCCACTGGAAGCTTACTATTAAATGCACATTGAATTGCTCTATTCCGAAGACGGTCACGATCGTTGCTACTGATTTAAAAAACAACGCAGATAAAACATCCATTGTCACATGGTCCATATCCTTGTGTCACATGCAAGAATTGAAAAAGAAATAGCAAACGTCTTTAGTCTAACATATCTGATTAAAAGTCAAATAATCTTTCAGGGAATTTATATTGTAAATTTTAATTTCCTATACAAATATTCCATTATATACACCTATTGACTGGGTATATGAGGGTAATAGCAAGTTTGTTGTCCCTGAGATACCAACTATTGCTCGATGCGAAGCCGAGGGCAATAGTTAGTTTCAAAGGGACAACAAACTTGCTATTACCCTCATAACCCGTCATTAAGTGTTTTATTATACCGAACAAAACAACTTTCTAAAAAGACTACATACACCACTTGAAAAAAAAAAAATGATCACATAGACATGTACAAGATGAACTATCAGGTTTTTTTTCCTGTGTGGTATTTGTCAATAATCTATATACTGTAATCAAGACCAGGAATCCTTGTGTAAAAATTGCCGTGCATATAATAAACATTAGCTAAAATATTTTACCATACCGTGACCAAAGCAATCCCAGAGTATAAAGACGACGACAGACCAACACCATACATTACATGTTTTAGTTCTTAAAATATGTCGCGTAGATTTCTTTTTCAATTGCTTCTGGTAAGTAATATATTAATTTGAAATTAAGACAGATACATCAGATTATAACGTACGATATTTCAGAGTTTAACGTTGCCAAGCGCACAAATCCAAGCAGAATAGTCGATGACGTCATTGTTGTCCAATGAAAAATTAGTATGAAAAAGTACGGGAAATATGTTTATAAAACTATTGACCGGGGTAATAGTCTTTGAAACTATTGACTGGCAAATAGTCTGTGGAATGAAATAGCACAAATATTTCATTCTTTTTTATATAGAAAGATCATACTGAGGTATAATAAATATTACAACTACATGTTCAACCAAGAAAATTCAATTGGATAATAAAACATATTTAAACAACCCATTTATGTATTTCCGTTAACGTAGGAAATATTTTAATTGCCTTTATTTGGCCCTAACATTCCACTTTTCAATCTTAAACACTTTCAAATTCCCGTTGATTGTTTTGTTGATTTAGATAAGGTAATATAATCTGACCACTTTAGTAGGCAAAAATAGCAAATATTGTGTTGTTATAACAACGATGTCATAAACATTTCATAATGGTATATTAGAGAAAATATTATTATAGTAATATTATAAAGGGAATGACACGCTTTTGTGATGTGTGATTTAGCTTTACGTTCCGCTATATAGATGATGTTCTCTCACTAAATAATACAAATTTGGTGACTATGTTGAACGAATCTATCCCACCGAACTAGAGATAAAGGATACTACAGATACAGTTAAGTTTGCCTCATATCTTGACTTACATCTAGAAATTGACAATGAGGGTCGGTTGAAAACAAAACTTTACGACAAAAGATATGATTTCAGCTTCCCAATTGTGAACTTTCCATTTCTATGTAGCAACATTCCAGCAGCGCCTGCATACGGAGTATATATCTCCCAATTGATACGATATTCCCGGGCTTGTATTTCCTATCATGATTTCCTTGATAGAGGATTGCTGCTCACAAGGAAGCTATTAAACCAAGAGTTCCAAATGGTGAAGTTGAAATCATCCCTTCGTAAATTTTACGGACGCCATCACGAGTTGGTTGATCGTTATGGAATAACCGTTTCACAGATGATATCGGATATGTTACTTATGTCGTAACTACAATACCCTTCCCTTTTCACGAATGTGACCTACCGAATTAGACTATTTACCGGATTTGTAATAACATAAGCAACACGACGGGTGCCACATGTGGAGCAGGATCTGCTTATCCGTCCGCAGCACCTGAGATCACCCCCAGTTTTTGGTGGGGTTCGTGTTGATTAGTCTTTAGTTTTCTACGTTGTGTCATATGTACTATTATTTGTCTGTTTGTTTTTTTATTTTTGGCCATGGCGTTGTCTGTTCGTTTTCGATCTATGAGTTTGACTGTCCCTCTGGTATCTTTCGTCCCTCTTTTAGGGGGTAAAAAAACCTGGGATGTGGGATATAGGGGTAAAAATGTGGGATCTGGGAAAAAGGAGGAAACAGTTTGGATGTGGGATACAGGTGGTAAAAACATGGGGATGTGGAATATAGTATTTAAAAAGTTGGACCTAAGAAAAAGAAGGAAAAAAGCGGGAAGTGGAAAAAAATTACGAAAAGTGAGATTTGGGAAATGAGCAGCCCCTCTATTATATCTTACAAGACAGCATTTTATTTTGCCGGTAAGCGTGATAGGTTGCTCACAACTGTGTATTATTGAAGATTTGTCTAAACAAGATAACTTCGGCGATTTTTGCAGTGACTGAAAAAATATGTTGAGATGAATTAAACAGTTTTTACCTGTTATCTTGTGTTCAGTTCATATTATGATACATTCATAACATATTGTAATGGCCAAATTCGAAGGTCCAAAAAAGTGGCCTGTATCATACCTCAATCACTAACAATTGTATATGAATAAGTGTTAATGTTATTAACATACCTATACAATCAGGAAAGGTATTCCCAGCAGACCAGGAACCATCTTTCTGATTACAGGTACGAAACTCTACCGACGTAGTCTGAAAGGTGAATCCACCATTACATGTGGCATAACATTCCCTGATGATAAAGAAAGAATGAATATCTCGTATAAATGGGATATTCAGAGTGGTTTATGGTGATTCAATCACCACGAACAATAACACAAAGCCTCAGGTGCGTCACATTTGCCGCCAACAGTGTACATCGCTGAAAGAGTAACTCAACCATACCAAATATATACGTTTGACCTCTCATGGTCAACATCAATTTTCAACAATAACGTTCATACGTTCTAGATGAAATTTTGGTTTATGTTTTTTTTTATTTTACCTGCGGTTTTTGTACGAGTTCATGTCGCCTTATCCTTGATTTTCTGTGTAGTACATGCATTTTATGGACTGGTATCGTTTTTGTCGTGATGCTGTGTTTCAGAATAGATCAGTAAGAAATTGTCTTAGTAAGTCAATCCGAAATTGGAACATATTTTTTTTTATTAAATTCCCTCAAATAGACATAAACAAACTATTATATATCAAATTAATAAGAATTAAAAAAAAACACTTTGCTTTATAGGATGATATTGATAGTTCAGAAAATAGATTGTGAATTGGGATGTGATATAAGTAATTCAATGACAAATATTGTTAAGTCCACCATTCAAATGTAAAAGCTGAAGAGCGATTTTTCTATCATCAAATTGATATTTTTTTGCAAATTGAAATCATGTTAAAGACTGTTTTTAATATTGACTTTTATGTTAAATGTTCATATAGTTTTTAATTATCTGTATTTGATTGTTTATCCCAAACCTTTTAATAGTGTCTAATGGCCATAAAATATTGAATTGTCTTGAAATTACTGACAGAAAGCGACATGCTTCAAGAACAGATGATGTGGAGTTACTCCGCTTTGTCAGCACGCATAAAAGTCAATCTGACGTGTAGTAAATGTTCCTTTTTTGCTGTGTTTGACGCACTTTGTTTTAATTCTTTTTATTCACATGAATAAAACGTAATGTGGATATAGGTCAAAGAGACAGCAACCGAACAACTCATTGTCAGCAAGAATTCCAAGACCCAAACGATTGGAAGCTTACGATGTTTCTAAAAATGTGTGACAGGCATTATAGGTACAAGGGGCCTAAAGTAGCAAACATGTCTTAAGGTAAATTTTTCTTGCTTGAAGGCTCTTTAATCTGTCAATGAAAATAGAAAGCCAAGTTTGGTCTCGAACAAGGCTCGATCAACCAGGAGACGACAAACAAAATGTCTTAAGCTAAAAATCATCAACTCGTGGGTTGCAAGGTAAATCATCCAAAGATTGCAAGTAGAATCATGTGCAAAACAGTGTAGCCGAGACCATTGATTGGCGCGCTGAAATATCCCATTGACTGGGTCAGATTAGGTGAACGTTCGTCTGTAACGCCCACAACTCCCGACGTATTTATTATAAACATTTAAACTGGGGGGTTGCCAAAGGGTCTCAGTATATATACGAACTAAAGTGCACAGTATATTATATACATATTTTATTTGCGATCATAAAATGTACGAAGTCGTCCATTACTATGTAAATTGGGTCGATTAAAAAAAAAGCTGAATATGTTTCTGTTGCCAAGAGTTTTTCACAAGTATAGTAGTTAGCAGAAAAGATCATCAAACTATACATTTTATCTATTCAAAAACGTAAATGCAAATTTCACAAGGCTTGATCCAAATAGCCTTTTTACTGTCTAATAACTTGCAAGTACGAAAAAGACAGGAAAGAAGTATATTTTGTCCATATGTTTTGTGTTTGCACACTTTTTAAAGTTGATCATGCATTCGTTCTAAAATAAAAAAATGACCAGATAAAGGTTTGGGGACGACCATTTGATATTCTGGGGGGGGGGGGGGGGGGGGGGGGGGCAGGAGGATTTTGAAAATAAATAACTCAGCCTTGATAATCACAAAAATAAATGGTTTGTTCTGTGGTAGTTTGAAAATAAATTACCTGACTTGCAATGTATTGAAAATAAATAACTCAGCAGGTCTAATCGAAAGTATGAGATGGCACCAGATTCTTCATAAATTCATCTTTTTTCCAAAAAAAAAAATATAAATATTATTTAAATATACTTGAAATGTCAGAAAATTGGTTTCATTTAACTTTAGGTTAATTGTCTCAGGAACACTTACCTCACTTTTATTAAATCAGGGCCGTAACTACATTGCGACAAATGCCTCATGTAGGAAATTTCAAAACCAAACGCTTGTCTCCATATCAAATTGTGTTCACCGTGAGTGCCTTGCAAGAAGCAAGTTCTGTTCTCCCTCAGACGTAGCCCCTGATTTTTCGGGATCAATGTTTCTTATTTATTTGTCTTTTGTTCATTGATTGCCCTTCTGTATTCTGTTAGTGTTGCATTCATTTTGTAATTTAGTAATTTTATTATTAACTTGATCATGAGTTTAAAAAAACACAGCAGCCACAGACTTAACTTTGTGAATTACATTTTTGCTTTATCATGCATATTTGTCTTTTGATGTTGTTCCTAGAAACTTAAGTCTTATTCTGAATCTATAACGTGATTTTGCTTTGAGACCAAAATATTGTCATAAAATTATTAAAACAGAACTTGCATTTTCAGTTTAAGAAAGGGTCTGGGGAACACCCAGAAGGCATGATTTTGCATCATTTGTTCTATAGCTTCTTGGGCCTTCAGCGGTTCAAAAACCCTTAAAAAAAAAATTTTGCCTCGCTCCGCTCGGCGAAACATGTTTGCCAATACCTTTAAAAGAGCCTTAGTTACAACCAAACTTTAATACTGTGTATGTATGTAATACATGTATATGCATTGGGGAATATAGAAGATTCATTTCTGCAGAGGATAATAATTAATTCTGATTAAATGGTACATAATGACTTGACTATACATGAATTATTTATAATAAACAAATAATTTAAAAATTGTATGTTTTCGAATATTATAAATATAGTTTGTGAAAATAAATAATCAGTCCCTTGCTTTAATGAAAATGAAAAATCTTGCTTCAATAGTGCAGAAAATAGATAATCTGTCCTCTTAGTTTACAAAAATAAATAACCGATCCAAAACAAATCCTCCTGCCCCCCCCCCCCCCCCCCCCCCCCCCCCCCATCCCCCAGAATATCAAATGGTCGTCCCCTTAAAAGATGACATAATTGGACAACCGCAATTCTTAAATCGCTTTGACGTCCGAAAAAAAGATAATAATCAACACATCCATTGTAACTTTTAAAGCCAGTTAAATCCTTTTTTGCTGAAAGAACGTGCGATATCATAAAAATTCATTATCAAAACATAACAAAAACACAAGTAAAGAACGTTTAAGTATTCAATATAAATCAAAACACAAAGGTTATTCCTGATTAGTTTTTCGAATTATTTTATTTAGGCGTTGAAACCCTTTGGTGACCCCACAGTTTAAATGTCTATAATAAATACGTCGTGAGTTGTGGGCGTTACAGACGAACGTTCACCTAATCTGACCCAGTCAATGGGATATTTTAGCGCGCCAATCAATGGTCTCGGCTACACTGTTTTGCACATGATTCTATTACAAACTAAAGAACAGTCATTCAAAAAAGAGAAAAATTCAATATAAAGTCTCCGGATGAGGGAGTTTCTCGCTGCATTGAAGACCCATTGGTGGCCTTCGGCTGTTGTCTGCTCTATGGTCGGGTTGTTGTCTCTTTGATACATTCCCCATTTCCATTCTCAATTTTATAAGTAAAGAGGAGAATGACAGAATTAAAATGATACAATCCCCTTGATAGATGGCTTGCAAGGTACATCACCCAAAGATTCCAAGTACCAGCAACTAACGAGCAGTTAGTCCAAGATAGATAAAACGGTTGATGAAAGGTCCATATAAAGCAGACAAAGGAAATGAGAAGAATGACAGGATTAGAATGATACAATCCCTTGAAAATTATAAGCACTATTGTTCATGCATTAAATACGATAACTTATGCAAGAAAAATCGAAGAAGATTTCTCAGGATTTCAATACATCCAAGAAGGCATGTTTGCGCATTCACATTTATCATGTACTTTTAACTTACAATACTCCACTCCCATTGTCGACACAGTTTACTTGTCCATTTTTAGGACGATTTGGTTCTTTGCAGAGACTGGTTTGACACTCATTTTCAGTAGTAAAAAATCCTGAAATCGACGTAAATGCCAGAATTTACAGTCAATTGTGATAAAGGCAAAAGTTATGTTCTGTTGCAGAATTAATAAATGTTATTCATTTACATAACATAGTGACTTTTCAATCGTTGTTTGTCGTAATTTTTCAGTTGATTCGAGTGTTCAATGTCGGCAGATCAGGTTTGAATTGTTTAAATGCGAAATGTATGAACAATAATATGCAGTGGCTGTATGATATTTATTTTTTATTATGTTATTGTTAGTATTATTATAATAACATGTATTTTCTAATCTTTTTAATCAGGTAGTTTATAGAAGTGAAATATTTCGACATAAAACGTGTAAATGATAACCAATCATCTTATTCAGTTTTTTTTTAAATTTCTCAATATTTTTTCTATCAAAAATTGTTTTGTTCAAAATGAACTTTAATGTGCGAAATAGGGCGAGATTACTTGGTGAGCAAAACGAAAAACGAAAAAACAACGTTATTAAGCTTTGAAAGAAAAAAAAACACACACGGAAACTTTAAAATTTTATTTGATATGTTTTTCCATACAATGAATGACTTTCCTGGTTTCCCTTAAATATCTGTTAGGTTTGTATCATAATTCTTCTCATTTTTTACAGCTTGTTTATATACTCGTTGCTAAAGTTTTTCGAAAGGTTTATCTTGCTCTCACTTGTTTTGACCCAAAAATTATCAACAAGCGGTCAGACGTGAGGCGGTTTCCTATAATCCGGTATATATAAGTGATAAATTGTCAAACTTTATTTCAAATTGCAAACCTTAAATGTTAACAGTCTTTGATGATGAAAACTTACCTAAAATAAGTAAAGAAATAATCAGGGCGGTGTCCATGCTGATTCTGAAAACATATCCATTAACCGAGGCGTGCCTATATATCGACCGTGGAATCCGCAGATAGATTTTTATTGTTTATTTTATCTATTTATTAACACGTATCAGACAAGCATAGTTTTGATTTAAATACATTAAATGCCATAATTTATTTGCAGTAGTTGACAGTGTTTCAGTAAGGTAACGGTTAGTTTACACAAAATCTTGGAGACTAAGAAATGTCAATATTGGATATCAAAATACTACTAAATATTACTATAACATACGGAAGATCTTTGTCATAAAGTATATGTGCATATTTGAAAGCGAGACAGTTGTCACGTGTCAGAAAGATACGAAAATATATAGAATGTGTTGTTTCATCATGTTATCTTCATCCCGGAATTACGTTATTATACTAAACAAGCTTAAGTGAGCTGCGTCGGATAGAAATCGACCTTATGCAAGTGCACGTATACATGTACATGTATAAGAATTTTATCTATTTTGGAACATTCAAATACGAAATAAAAGACTGTTTTGTAGGGTTTTTATATGAACTCAATTTTCAAACAGTTACAGACTTTGCATAAAGATTTTTTGCAACCCGTAATAAGATAAAAGATGTATTGATATTCATTTGCATAAGGTCGATTTCTATCCGACTCATCTCATTAGTAATAGTTTTTTAGCAGCGCGTATTTTGTCAATTGTTTTGAAACCTTTCCAATAATATAAAATAGTTCTAATAATAGTTGTATGTGTTGTTGTAGCAATGTTGGAATATTTCAAAGTGTGCTATATAGTTTCTAATGTGGCAGGATATTTTATCCAATAACAAGTGTATATTAAGTACTTACTTTGTGTTTTAGTTGTTTCATTTTTTAAATAATTTTAATTTGAAATATGTTGTTTTTATTGTTGTTATTGGTTTTGGTAGGCGGCTTACTTATATAGTAGTTGCGCCTTAAATTCATATAACATAAATATTATTTATATACGCTCATTCCTTAATATATTTGGAGCAGGAACTGCTTACCCACCTGGAGCACTTGAGTTTACCCCCCGGTTCTTGATAGGGTTCGTGTTGCTCAGTCTTTAGTTTTCTATCTACTGTTGTTTTATTCATTTTAATTATGGCCATGATATTGTCTGTTTTTATTGAAGTTTTATAATATTATAATCTGGTTCAAACAAGTGAACAAATGATCTTCACAGCAAAGTCTGAAGGGAAATATCTAAACCGGTGATAATTGGGCACGTGGGTTATATACTCTCTTTCGTCCAACAGTCATTGCTTTAGTACTTGCCATGAGGATTTATTATAAAATTTTGATCAATTCTCTGATGACTTTGTCATTGATAAACATAATAAAAAATTCCTCCAACAAATATAAGTGACATTTGGCGGTTTCGATCATTCTTTACAGGACCAGTTTTAAACCCAGCAAATTACGAACATTATTGTTTCATTTTGGTGAACTATCGCTGCTAGTGAACAGCTAGTTCTAAGGATATCATCATACAAGTACATAGAGTTAGTTCTTCGACACTGCATATAACGAATGACGTAGTACGTGATTCGATACTGCTTGTGGACTACTAGCAGTAGTTAGTGCTTCGATGTTGCTGATGGAGTAAAGGTCTCGATGATAGCATCCTGAAAGTACATTGTTGTTAGTGTATTTGATGCTGCTGATGGAGTATAAGTCTCGATGAAATCATCCTGGAAGTACAATGTAGTAAGTGCTTCCATGTTGATGGAGCATTATTCTCAATAATATCACCCTGGAAGTACATTCTGACAATTGCTTCACTGCTGCTGGAGTATAAGTCCAGATGATATCATCCTTGTACTACATTGTAGTAAGTGCTTCGATGCTGATGGAGTATTAGTCTCGAGAATAGCATCCTGGAAGTACATTGTAGTAAGTGCGTCCATGCTGATGGAGTATAAGTCTCAAGAATATCCCCCTGAAAGTACATTCTAGTAAGTACTTCCATGCTTATGGAGTATTAGTCTCGATGAAATCATCCTGAAAGTACACTGTAATAAGTGCTTCGAGGCAAATGGAGTATTACTCTCGAGGATATCCTAAAAGTACATTGTAGTAAGTGCTTCCATGCTGATGTAGTATTGGTCTCAAGAATATCAATTTGGAAGTCCATTCTAGTAGTGCTTCGATATTGATGGAGTTTTACTCTCGAAGATATCACCCTGAAATTAAATGTAGTAAGTTCTTCCATTATCTGATGGAGTATTAGTCTCAATGATATCATCCTGAAAGTACATTGTAGTAAGTGCTTCGATGCCGCTGATGGAGTATTAGTCTCGAGGATATCATCATGAAAGTACGCTGCAATTAGTGCTTCCATGCAGATGGAGTATAAGTCTCGAGGATAGCAACCCAGTAGTAAATTATAATAAGTAATTCTATGCTGGTGGTGGAGTATTAGTCTCAAGGATATATCCTATAACTACATTCTAGTATGTGTTTCGATGCTGCTGGAGTATTACTCTCGATTATATCACCATGAAAGTAAATGTAGTAAGTGTTTTCATGCTTCTGGTGGAGTATTAGTCTCAAGGATATCATCCTGGAAGTACATTCTGGCAAGTGCTTCCGTGCTTACGGAGCATTAGTCTCGAGGATATCATCCTGAAAGTACACTGTAGTATGTGCTTCCATCCTGATTGAGTATTATTTTTGAGAATAGCATCCTGAAAGTACACTGTAATAAGTGCTTCCATGCTAATGGAGTATTACTCTCTAAGATATCATCCTGAAAGTACATTGTAGTAAATGCTTCCTGATAGAGTATAAGTCTCGATGATGGGATCCCGGAAGTACATTGTAGTAAGTGTTTCCATGCGGCTGGTTGAGTATAAGTTTCGAGGATATCATCCTGGAAGTTAATTCTAGTAAGTGCGACGATACTGACTGAGTATTACTCTCGATGATATCACCCGGAAGTATCTTGTAAGAAATGTGTCGGTGCTAATGGAGTATTAGTCGCAATGATAGCAACCCGGAAGTACATTGTGATAAGTGCTTCCATGCTGATGGAGTATTACTCTCTAGGATATCATCCTGAAAGTACATTGTAGTAAATGCTTCCTGATAGAGTATAAGTCTCGATGATGGGATCCCGGAAGTACATTGTAGTAAGTGTTTCCATGCGGCTGGTTGAGAATAAGTTTCGAGGATATCATCCTGGAAGTTAATTCTAGTAAGTGCGACGATGCTGATTGAGTATTACTCTCGATGATATCACCCGGAAGTATCTTGTAGTAAATGCGTCGGTGCTAATGGAGTATTAGTCGCAATTATAGCAACCCGGAAGTACATTATGATAAGTGCTTCCATGCTGATGGAGTATTAGTCTCGAGGATATATCCTGGAAGTACATTCTAGTAAGTGCTTCGATGTTTTGTCCCAATGATATCATCAAGAAATAGTTCTGAACATGATGAGATATCAATGAGGTAGCAGCAAGTGCTTCGATGGGTTAAGTCATCATTTTTATTTACTTAAAGTTATAGAGAAAGTCCAAATAACTGTCCATTCCTGGGAAATAATGGAGCGGAGGCCCGTAGGGCCGACGCCCATTTTTTTCCAGGAATGGACAGTTATTTGGACTTTCGCTAACTTCAAATACACCTTAAATATTAAAAATGAATCTTCAGATTATAACATTTTAAAGAATTTTATTTAATTTTGTAATGGTTTTCCTTTCATTTTCCCCGTGCTGTACCCAAGAATCCGCAGGCAACAAAATTAAGATCAAGCTGACCATCTACTCACTATACGAAGTATTTATGAACAGTAGAATAGTTGCTATAAAAAGATCTTGAATAAAGTTCATACAGATTTATGTTTAAAGTCATTGGATACGCACGTCTTTCTTGTAGTGGGATTGAAAGGATATTTATTTGTGTCTTTAAGTGGTATTTCGGGAGAGTAAAAAAAACCCTAGTATTTATGCATATATGTTAATAGATTATGTGTGTTTTTCGTTTGATAAATATTGGATGTAGAATCGTCTGAGAAAAGTGAAATGAAACAACTAGAATGAATTTCCAGGTATGTAACACTCTAATATAGGTTATTTAACTAATAATGGTGCGCTCGATTTTAAGTCATATCGAAAACAAAATGTGATTCTATATTTCAAACCATTTTATTCGATGAAATAAAATGAAAAAGAAAACAGTATTTCATACACAACCCAACATTTTGTCTTTCCCTTTGCTAATTACAACGAACAAATATTTTATGCATTTTTTCTTAAATAGCAATACAACCAAACTGAAGTATGTTTCATTCTTCCCTATTATCAGAAAGGAAGGAAAATAGTTTTAGAAACAAAAATCCGCATGATTAAAAACATTTTTGGATTCCGTTGTGTATGTATTTAACTTAAGTGGACAACCACCTTTTAATTTCATTTAAACATTTATTTCAAGATTTTCGCCGTTTATTTGCACTTTCGATATAACTGTTATATTTTCCACTGGCCATATAACAACAGTGAATGAATTAGATTATGTTACGCGTTTCTGTTGAAAATTTAATAAAAAACCCCGTCCAATATTTAACACAAGCCTTATTCAAATGTTATCCATGCCCCCTCAAATTTTATTCATTAGTACTATATCTAAAGTATAATAACGAACAATCAAATAATATACCGAGTACGCCATTTTGACTATTTCAGTTTCTTGTGCTATTTATTCTATTAAACCACAATATCATTGTAGAAACTATCCGAGTAATTTTTGTGTTTTTAATTTATATATATTTAAAAATGCAACAAACGATTTTTGCTGTACAAAATCAAAATATTTCAAGGAAATGATATCTTATACGGTAAAATTACAATCAAATCTTTATGTGAAATATATTTTTCACTTATTTCATTATCTGATTATTGAATAATGTTAATGAAGTCAGTATTACAATAAAATTCACTGACTCACACACAGTTAACACATTTGATATCTTGTAGATGCACAGAAGAGGAATGGGACTCAATGGAAAATATTCGTTTTTACCCACTTGGATA